ATGCTATATGCTAGGTTAATCTATGTTAAAAGACAACCAACATTTTGGTTGAAAGATAAAAGGTACGTATAGTCACATCTTAAATTAGCTAATGTTATTAAAAATGTAGCTAACCTAGCATAATTTTCAGATGTAATAGCTAGCTAACTCTCTACATCCCACATTTTGGAAGATATTGTTTTCAGATGTAACTAGCTAGCTAGACTCCTCTACATCCACATTTTGAAGATAAAATATGTGACATACTATAAAGTTGCATCTTTAGGTTGGCATGCTGCAACCATCTACTTAAGATACTTAAGATTAAGTCAAAAGAAATGTGAAAATGTTCCTTTATTCTTACACCTGATGCCTGATGTCCTTTCAATGTCCTTGCAGAACAACCCTCCAGGCATCCTGGCCCTGCTGGACGAGGAGTGCTGGTTCCCCAAAGCCACTGATGTTTCCTTCGTGGACAAGCTGCTGAACACCCACACTGGTCACGTGAAATTCTCCAAACCCAAACAACACAAAGACAAACTGATGTTCAGTGTTCTGCACTACGCCGGGAAGGTGAGGGTCACTGAAAACAGCTTTATATGAAGGATAAATAGTGCCAAAGTCTGACAGTAACGGTGGGTGAACTTAAGACATTTGATTCAGTTTTGATTCAGGCAACAATACCTCTTGGTTAGTAGGACCTACAGTTGGAACCAATGGACAGGCAGACAGTAAAAGTAAAAAGTATTTTAATAGGATTTAATCGTCAATAAGAAAAAAATCAGCCTCATAATTTGATCTTTCAACCAACCTGACTTTCCATTTACATTTCCAGGTCGACTATAATGCAGCTAACTGGCTGACTAAAAACATGGATCCTCTGAACGACAATGTGACCGCTCTGCTCAACAACTCCTCCAGCAACTTCATCCAGGACCTGTGGAAAGACGGTCAGTCCTCATCGGCCGGCTCCACATTTAACCTTTTCAACCCGATCGAACGTGATATAAATGTTATATCCTGTGTTTGTCCTCCGTGGTGGTAGCGGACCGAGTGGTGGGTCTGGACACCCTAACCAAGATGTCAGAGAGTTCGGTGCCCACTAAATCCAAGAAGGGCATGTTCCGAACGGTGGGTCAGCTGTACAAGGAGTCGCTGGGAAAACTGATGACCACGCTGCACAACACCCAGCCCAACTTCGTCCGCTGCATCATCCCCAACCACGAGAAGAGGGTAGGTCATGTTTCGAGAAACAAATTTGAGAAATAAGCTCCAGAGAGGAAGACTCTGCATGCGCTCAGTGACTGTTGGTCTGTTGCAGGCTGGGAAGATGGACTCCAACCTGGTGCTGGAGCAGCTCAGGTGTAACGGCGTGCTGGAGGGCATCCGGATCTGCAGACAGGGATTCCCAAACCGCATCGTGTTCCAGGAGTTTAGGCAGAGGTAAGAATACACTTTATATTAAGGTACATATACCACCATGGATTAGTAGCTGTTGCGATGCAGTAGTATCCTGATTTCTCCTAAGGGGGATATAAAGGAATATCTTATCTTAGATGAGTAGCATATTGGCACTTGCATGACCTTAATGGGCTTCGCTCAGTTTACACCTTTATAAGGTTTTAGTACCATAATAATACTAATTCTCCCTGAATAACACTTAATACAAAGCACTTTGGGTGGATCAGAAGCACCAAAAGGCTTTCTGGGGTTGACTCTGTGGGTTGCGTTTCCGTTCCAGGTCGCTCTGGTTGGTAAAGTGCTTTCTAACAAAATACTGCTTCCTCATTCTGAAAGTGAGACCTGAAACTTTAAGCTGTGACATGCTAAACAAATCTGTAAAGATTTCGAAGGTCAACCTGATTTTTCACCAGTTTTGTGCGTTAATACATATGAAGTAACCACATTTATAAAGTTTACTTGTATAAATTTAAAGTGTTACTTGACGAGAGGCGGATTACTGGCAGAAGCTGTCAGTTAAGATCATAATTCATGTACAAATACTTTCCCTTATTACTAATAGATGAGTAATTATACAACAATATAATTTCAGTCAGGAGTACTGCTCTAATGCGCTGGCACCTTAGACAAATAACATTAAGCCTGAAACAATAATCTAGGAGGGGTTATTGGGGAAAACTCTTAGTTAGACTGAGCTGAGTAGCTGGTCAATCAGGCATGTAATAAGTTCGTATTGATAGCATGACTAATTATTAGGGCCAATAAAGCTACTATAATTCCATGCCTGACAAGTATCTAGTTAATGTTCAGTATGTATACCTTGATATAAAAGCTGTCACAGAGTTGATGTATTATTATTCTTTGCAGGTATTCAATAACAATATTCATCAGTTCTGTTTGCACTACAGTATGCTAGTATTATGTTATTATTGGACATATTAAGACTGTGACATTAAACTGAAGCTTAAAGGGGACCTTGCCAACTTCCTTTCACTTAATC